TGCCTGTGGTTTACTCTCTTACAATGTCTAGCTGCATGGCTGGGGAATTGGACTGCTTTCAGACTAATCAAAAAGTCAATATACTCCTATTGCCTTTTAAAGGTTAATGTACATTCAAAAAGCAGGGATCAAAGCAGACATCTACAGAGAACCAAGGCCAATTAAGCCCACAGAATCCTCTAGGTTGCTTTTTTGCCTTTCAAAACAGTAGTTCCTTGACAGGTTAAAGATTTTCCTTTTTCCCCTCTTTCCCTCGTGGGTTTTTTTTTTTCCTCTTCATTTCTTGCCTTTTCTATTCATCCTTTGCTCCATGACCTCTAGTCATTTCTTAATAAAAAAATACTATAGTTATTTATTGTTTAATCATCATAATTTAATTTCTGTTTCCCTTAAACCTTTACAAAGTCAAATGAATTCTGGGGCAGGTGTTCATGGCAGGATTTCTTTTTGTACACCAAAGGTATGTGAGGGTCTCTTGCTTACCTGATGATGTGAGAAAGATGTTTTGATTATAGAATCATAGAATGGTTTGGGTTACAAGGATCCTTAAAAGTCATCTATTTCCAGCCCCCTGTCATGAGTAGGTACACCTTCCACTAGACCAGGTTGCTCAAGGCCCTGTGTAACCTGACCTTGGACACTTCCAGGGATGCACAATTGTTGGGTTCACTACAAAATTAGAGCTAGTGTTGATCCCGGACCTGTTCAGTCCAGTTACAGTAATCCTGATCTTCCTTAGACAGGTGCTGGGAAGAATGCATACAGATGGGCAACTTCTGTCTAAGGTCATACCACTGAATTCTCTTCCCATTGAATTCAGGAGAGATGATGACTCCTGAGCTGGAAAGGTCAAAAAGGGGTCAGAAGGAAAGAATAAACAATTACCCAAGAGCAAGCTGATTCCTCAGTCCTGCTCTTAGAGGTCAAGCAACCCCAAAGTGCAGTAGGAAACTTGTGGTACTCTTTCTTCAGTGCTAGAACTAGCTTTCTAATACCTTGTGGTACTTTAAAGATCTGTAAGGCATCCTTCTGACTCCTGCCAGACCAGGATGAAAAAAGAGATCAATATTCCTGCAGCATGCACAGGCAGTGTCACCTGCTTCTTTACCAGAACTGCTGCAGGCTGTCCCTGCCCTCACATCCTCCCTAACAGCCAACTGAGCAATTTCAGGTGATCTGACATCTCCACAAGTTAGCAACATGCTTATAGGAAAAGGGAACTCTCCAAGCCTTTTAGTTGTTGGGATGGTTTCAGATCCAGAGCCTGAATGCTGTTGAGGTTCCCTCAGAATATTTTTTCACACAGACCTTCATGAATTATTTAGCACATCTCAGCACCAAATTTCTTTGGCTGCCAGACATGACAGTATAGTTGACTCCTGGAACTCTTACCAACAAGTAAATATTATCTTTGCTGTAATCAATTGCAATGGACTGTGGAGAACCAATATACAGCAAATGACAGCTGTAAAATATTACCAAGGACCACCTATTCTCTCACCCTTCCCTGGCTTTCAGAAGCTGACATGGTGCAGTTCCTCAGGCTGCAGGGATCAGGGTGAAGGCAAAGTAACTATTCTGCAAGTGGGCCCGGGTGTGGCTTGCTTTGCCTTACAATCTGTGGGTATGTGTACTTGGGTGTCTAAATTCAAATTAGAAACACGCTTGGGAGAGAAATCTCCCAATGGCCTGTTAGTTCTCCACATCTTGATTTTCATTGTGAAACTGTTTGGGAGACATGGACAGGGTAACATTTGTGTTAAACTATTCTGAATGCTGTGATCTCATGGAGAACACCTGATGTGCTCTAACCTTTCTGGGCATCCAGTTGGCAACCCCTAGTCCAGAGTTCTCCTCAGGACACACATAATGGGCTGTCAGGTCCTTGGCATCAAATACTGTGCTGCCCAGATCAATTTCTCTTGCACTGCACCCCTTGCTAATTGACCCTGGCAGCTACTGCAGTACCTAGAAGCTACTCATAAGTACAGAATCCATCTTCCCAAGTGAGATAGAGGCTGTGACAGATGTCACATTTAGGACAGCACATTACATAGATTAATTCCCCTAGATGGAAAAGATCATTCACTTCATCCTCTTAAATGTAATTCATGTGTCTGTAAGTTTAAAAAAAAATATAAAGTGATTGGTAACAATATATTCCCTCATCATTCTAATGCAAAAATTCAAACAATATAAAGTGACCAAAAACTCTTAAGACAATTAATTTCTTCCCTCTTATGCTCCAAGCACCCTCCATCATTTGCAAACAAACTGAATTCTTGTTGTGTCAGGACACTTGAGAGATGCACATCAGTGTGGGGGCTGAGAAGGGACATTCAAAGTCAAGGTTCAACTTAGGCTGTTTCTACACTAGGTGCCCATTTCCCTTTGAGTGCATCTGGACTCTAGACACCAAACCTTTGAATACTGTACAAAGAAATGCATCATTAGTGTTATTGACTCTTGCCTTTGCTAGAATCTCACATATTACAGTTCACATCTCTGATTCACAACATTTTGCATTGCCAGGAAGCTTCAATGACGTGCTTAATTAGGCAAATCCAGGCTGAGTTAATCTAGAAATAGGACCTGTATAAACAGCAGAAATTTAAGTTTGTGATTAATATAGCAAATGTAATTCTGCCATGTAATTTAAATTATGTGTATGTCATATCATAAATCTAAGTGCTTCCGAAGTCTGTAGGCTTCGTGCCAGCATTAATTTTTGTAGAAAGTAAGAAATATTTCTCTTGTGTTTGATTGCTTTTTAAAGTCCAGGTCTGATGTACTCTCTGAAGTTTGTCCCAGTCTGCTGTCTTGTGATATTTAATGGAGTTTAAAAATAAAAAATTATGCCTACGTATAGTTTGCTTATGTAGGTGAAATGCATTACAAAAGAACATAAGGTATTTCAGACTTTAAAGTTTTTTGTTAAGACAAACTATGACAAAGTTATATTTAACTACTTTGACACTAATTTATGAAAATACATTAAATTTTAAAGATTGAAAATAGAAACTTTTTTAATTTTTCAGTATATAATGCGTACAAATGCGCCCTGAAAGATATTCCCATGAAGCAGACCACCCACATTAATCACTCAGGGAAGAGCTGATTTTCTATTTCATAGAGGTATAAATTTAGAGATCTAAAGCAAAAATTCATACCAAAGTTGTTAAATTCCAAACACTGCATAATAAAGATTACTAATACTATATTGGTTGTCTGATTCAGAACTCATTCTCATGACCTGGTACACAGCATAATCAGGCCTGAAGTTTGTGCTATCTCAGGTTCATGGGATGAGGCATTAAATTGTTTTGTGGATATGGTCTCAATATGGGGCCATGATGCATTTACCCATTGTTAGTATTTTATTTATTTATCAGTCTGGAGTTTAAACTAATTAAAGGTGATGAAGCCAGGAGCTGTCAGGGAGAGGCAGATCATAGAAATGTAAAGTTGTTGAATGGTTTAGGTTGGAAGGGACCTTTCAAGATCAGAGAAGATAGAATCTTCTGCTAACTCTGGCCAGCAGTGATAAGCCAATATTGCTTGAGCTATTTTCAGATTTGAGGATAAAAAATGAAGTTTCAGTGACTGTGCTTAGATATCATGGATTTAGGTTTTAAGTTATCAGCTGGATTTAGCTTCTTCAGAACTCAAAAGTACAACTGAACTTTCACACAAGCACAAACTGTCTTCTTTTACATTCTGGTTTTAATGAAGTAACAGGAAAACAAAAAGAAAATGAAGACTTGAGTCTCAGTAAATTAGACAGCTTATTCCTGCCAATAATTTGCAGTCAGAGTCTGGACTCACTACACAGTGCATTCCCAGTAAAGGACCTACTTGGGCACAGCTTCCACTCGCCCAGTCTGGCAGCTGTGGAGCACCTGTGGAGCCAGCACAACATCTGCTGGGAGTGCATGCACAAACACACACACACCCCTCTGCATTTCTAGAAAACACAGTGGCTTGGGAATAAGTGTGTCTGTTCTGCAATGTGGATGCAGCCCACATTCTTTGGTATGTGTCCAGAGAATAGGAAAGCACATGTAAACAGGGACCACTGCTGTCTCACTTTCTCTAGCCTTCATATTCACCTGTTTAGTATTGGCTGGTGTCTTCAGGAAAGGTGAGTGAATATTCATAAGTAAAATCTAATAGGTATCAATTCTGATCCTGCAGTGCCTCCAGATGAAGCAGTTCTAGGTAATGGTCAAAAGAAGCAACATAATCACTAGCTTTTTGCTAGGATTGGGTTTTTTCTTTCCTTGTCATGATTTTTAGTTAGTACTTCTATCCCTTCTACTTAGCATGGAAATGATACCAAAATTGTGAAGAAACAAAGCCTTATCTCTTTGAAAACTAAAAATCATTATTCCTGCACAGCTGATCCGACGAGGTGATTATTCAGATAATACAGTGCCTTCCTGCCATCTTGTGGCACTGCAGGGTTTGCAACTCCCTGTTTGTTATACTGTATAATTTTTATATTAACAGTTAAATTAAATTAACAGTTTTTAAGTTTCAGATGTCATCTAGTTAAACAACACACACACACACACACAAAGAGTGAAACCTCACTCTAGCTAATTGCAATGTCAGAAATCTCGTTGATTTTAAAAAGTTCCAGACTGTATTAATTGTATTTATTTCAATGCCTTATTATGTCAAAAATGAAAACAAATTGAAACTAATGTAAAACTGTGTTTCAGGTTAATAGATTAGGTTACTGTTATACTGAAATAATCTGCAGTTATGTATGAAACAATACCTTGCATTTGCATTATGAATTAATCTGTAGTTTTCATTTGGGATGCTTTGTTGGTTTTCAAAATAGCTGCCTCCTTATTCAAGTCTGCCTGAAGGACAGGAAAAATGCATCTTCTGTAGGACTTCAGAGCCTGCAAGAGCTTGTTCAATGTTTACTTATTTTTCTAAAATAATGTATGAGATTGTGCTACTGTCCAATTTTCTGCTCCTACTTTCAGGCTGGAATCACCAACTCGATCTCTGAGCATGGATGCACCACGAGGAATTAATATTAAAGCACAAGCTGGGAATATTGAAGCGCTTTCCCAGATGGATATCAAACTACACAGCAGTGATGGCGTGGTGAGTACAAGCCCTTCTTTTCCATAACTGTGGTTGATCTTCTGTGTGACTGTAACTTCAAGTCTTTTTTTAAAGTTCTGTTAATTTAATTCCTCAGGTTTTAGGTAGCAGGATATTAAAATTATTAGTGCCAATAATAAAAGTTTTATTTATGCAAATAATACTACCAACAGACATAATGTTATATTAGCTTAGAGAGATGCTTTCTAATGAAACTTGGACACTGCTTAGCTCCCTACTAGCACAGTGATTCCCAGGCACCTCAGTGGGGAACCTTGGCTCGGAAGCAGACACAGCCCCAGAGTGGCAAAATTAAGGAGTGAAGCTCTGCAGACATCATTAACAGCAGGCAGCATGCAGCAGCCTATTTATCCCCTCTGCAAGGCTGTACTGTGCCAGTTCTTCCACAGAGGAACTACAGACCAACCCACGTCCATCCATAACCAGCTGGGTCCATGGTGAGGCCTCAGCACTCAGGCCAGGATAGATCTGGGTCCAGCAGCAGTGCTTGTGTCCTGCTCTTCTGTGCACAGGCAGGGACCCTGTCACTTACCTTAGAATCATAGAGTGAATTGTGCTGGAAGGGACCTTAAACATCATCCAGGTCCAATTTCCCCTGCCATGGCCAGGGACACCTTCAAATAAACTAGGCTGCTCAGAGCTCAGTCTGGCCTTGAACACTTCCAGGCATGGGTCATCCACAATTTCTCTGGACAACCTGTTCTGTGCCTCACCACTGAAAGAAGTTCTTTTTTATATCTAATCTAAATGATAGTTTCTTTCAGTTTAAAACATTCCAGTATGCCTCATAAAGGGTCCCTCCCCAGCTTTCTTGTAGGCCCTCTTTAAGTACTGGAAGGCTGCAATGAGGTCTCCCCAGAGCCTTCTCGTCTCCATGCTCCAGTTCTCTCAGCCTTTCCTCATAGGAGAGGTGCTCCATCCCTCTGAGCATCTTTGTGTCCCTCCTCTTAACTCACTTCCACAGACCCATGTCTTTCTTATTTTGGGGGCCCCAGAGCTAATGCAGCACTGCAGGTGAGTTCTCACTGGAGCAGAGCTGCATGGGCAGAATTCCCTCCCTTGCCCCTGCCCATGTTGCTCCTGTTGCAGCCCGGAATATGATTGATTTTCTGGGCTGCAAGCACATATTGCTGGCTCATACATAGGTTTTCATTTGTCAATACCCCCACATCTTTCTCCTCAGGGCTTCTCTCAATCCATTCATCACCCTGCTTGTATCCATTTTGGGGATTGCCCCAACAAAGGTGCAGGACATTGCACTTGGCCTTGCTGAACTTCATGAGTTTTCTGCTAAGAAGAGGATGGGCACCAGCTTATTCCTGTCCTTTGTTTATGTCTGCCAAGAGCCTAGAGCTCAGAGAAACTTTGTATATAACAAGTCCTGTGTAAAAGGCAGTTCTTAAGCCTCTGCCTAGCCAAATTCAATTTGTCTCATGGCACATTATTGCTTTACCATCTCTAATAACCTCGTTTCTCCTGCTTTTTCCCACACAGCTTTTGCTGGATGCTGAAACCGTGCGTCTGCCCAAGCTGCCTGAGGGTACAAGGGGTGGATCTGGGATTTCTCAGGGGCTCTATGAAATCTGTGTGTGTCCAGATGGAAAGCTCTACTTGTCAGTGGCTGGCATGGGCTCCACTTGCCAGGAATACAGCCGAGTCTGCCAGTGAGGCACCCAAAAGGCCACACACCTCCTTGGGCATCTGGGTTTTGTATTACTCCTAAAGAGCATTACTGAAAGCATATTTTTCAGCATTTTAGAAACAAAGTACTTAAAATTTAGGAAACAAATCTGCATCTACAGTTCTGGAATACAGGGTGTAAGGGGAAGAAGAGCACAAATGACATTTCCACTGCAGAAGAATGACCTGACTCAAATTACATGTTTTGTCAGAAACACTTGGAAAACAGCCTTACAGAGAGTATAAAAAATAAAACAAATATGTTTCCTTGCTGAACTGTTATTCAGTCAGATGATTATGTCGTTGTTCATATTTTTGAGATCCATGGGTTTTTCCTCTCACTACATGTAAACACTTACTGGGTGAAATGAAATTGAGGGAACTACTTGAATTATTTGTAAGACAAAGCATTATTTGGAAAATTCAGAAAGTGCCAGCAAATGGTCTATGCAATTTTGTTCTTGCAATAACACAAGATAGAAAAATGTGGTATTTGTGTGAGTTCTGTGTAAAAGATGTTAATTTGTTGATAGCTTTCTGTTTTAATTTGGCAACACATATGCTGATTTGCTTCTTACTGAGATTCGTATAAAAATACCTAATGCAAAAGCTCCAGAAGTCATGAAGGCCTCTCTGTGTCTCAGATCCATTCACTATAAAACGGAGAAGTATGTTAGTGTATTTTATTATAGCATTGTTTGTTCTACTGCCTGTACCATCATATTCAATCAAATCCTTTTTTATTTTATGACATGCTAATTCAACAAGGCAATCTGTTGTGCCAGCTGGACTAGTAAACAAAAAAAAATATGTCTTCAGATTGTCTGACCTAAGGAACTCTTTGGGCAGTGGGAAAAATTCCTTTTATGCAGCCCACAGATTTCAACTAAGAGGAATATTTCATTCCCATCTGTACCTGTTTACTGGTATTTCTGATCTGTCAGAGTGGGACTCCACCACAAACAGAGAGAGTAAAACTGTTATTATTTTTTACATTAGGATTTTGGATACAAAATAAATGCTCACCAGAGCTGACAAACCGTTTATTGGCCTTGTAAAGAAACACAACTGCAGACCCATTCCCCTGTACAGTGTTGCACTGAACACAAATAAATTGTTTGCACACCTCTGGGTAGCAAGATTTGTATTTAATAGTCTGTTGTTTAAACCTCATGGGTTTTAAATTCCTTTGATGCTGTTTTGTATATACTTTATGGTCTTATTATCCAGGAAGGAGCTATCACATAGTGCCTTGGTGTCTATTTACAGAAGGATTTTAACCCATAGTGTTAGTAAACCAAAAAAAATAATCACCATCCTTAAAACAAAAGAATCAGGACAAAATAACTACTAACAAACTTGCTACTTCAGCTCTGGTGAACAAGGGAAGAAAACCAGCACTTGGATGAGATCCCCAGGTACACACAAAAGCCTGAGCTGAGAAAGAGAGTCAGTCCCACATTAGTATTTTCCACTATTTGTGGAAAAGCCCAGGGCAGTCCCCGCTTCAAGGGTTGCCTTTGCAATTTCTCCAAGAGTCTGATGTACAGAACTGAAACTGCTCTTCAGCAGCAGTGTGGAGCCCTCAGCAATTAATGCAAACTTCTAAGAACTCCAGTAGAGCAAGTAGGAAACACTTAAGGTGAGCTTAGGCGAGTGAAGCAAGGGTTCACATGTTATCTGCAGAGTGCTCCAACTGCTCTTACACTGCCTAAAGGAGAAGTAGGAAGCCACACATCTTCCCCATCTGAAATTGACTTTTCTTGGGCTAGACTCATTCATTTACTCCTGTCTTCAGGAGTGAGTCCAAGGCTGTTTGCTGTAAGGAGAGAAATGTTTATCTCCACAACTGTATCTCTTGACTATATGTGTCTCTAAGGCTAAGCCCTCAGCTGAGGTACACTTTAACAGAAACCTGTCTTCAGTATTCCTTTTAAGTCAATGTAGATGGTCCCAGCTCCATGCACAAGCTTTTACAAACCAAAACACAAGGAGACTTCATTGGATAGAAAGTTTGAGTACTAAAATAAAGATCAGCAGATGCCCTTGCATGTGCCAGATACCTAAAAACTGCTGCTACGAGTAAGTTGGAGAACTGTAATGTCACCAGTCTCTTACAGGTGTAGTATTAACAGCAAAACTGGGACTTGAGTCCTTAGAAATTTCAGCCATTGTTCTGACATCAAGGAACATATGCCCGTTTCCATGGAGTATCAAACAAATAATTCACTAATCTAACCCCTAAATGTTAGCTAGATACTGCAAAATAGTTCAAATCTCCTTGTTCTGCTGGCAGTAGAATCACAGCACTTCAAGTTAGACATTTTAAGCTTTTGTTTTGTAGGCACATTTTCAGTTGTGATTTGCCAATTAATTCACAGCAGGGGACTGAACTGAGGCTTTCCAGGCAAGAATAACCTGACCCCTAAAGAGCTAGGAAAATCAGGGTGCAGTCCCCTGGCTGGTAACACTATTAAGCAGGATGGTGCTTCATTTAGACACTGCAATAACTACCACCTTTCTTGTGGAGATAAATCTTCTGGACTTCTTTCATTTCACAGGTGGAGTCTAAGTAGTACCAAAACCTAAAGAGGTCTGCTGTACCCTTAGCACTGCAATCACACAAATCACTAACTTGATCATTTTCATTGCTTAAATTTGATTCTTCTTTTCATTATGCTACAACACTGACATCAGAAGTATTGTTCCAGTATAGAAGTTGTGCACATAAAGCATGGCTGGCAACATCTTGTCGCTTTTTCTTTTAGGTGTGGTTAGTAGAGAAACAAAATTTATGCTAACATTACCAGAGTATTATCAGCTGATGCTACCATCTGAATTGCTGTTAATCTCAACATAGGTCATACATCACTAAATTATAATTTTTGATATCTCTATGTGGATGTCTATTTCCCCCTCTTTAATACTTCAAAATTACTGTTTCTACTTGAATCAAACTACAGTAATTAGTTAGAGTAACAGAAAATTATGGCACAGGGAAGTGAGAGTATGCAGTTCTCTTAGTTTATTTCCAAAAGCATTATTCAAATAGAAAAAAAATCACTACCAGCATAGTGAACTGATTTGTTTGCATATTTACTCCCTCAAAAAGAATTATTTACAGCTGTTCTTGCAACTGGTTGCAATTGTTACACAGTGGAAAAATGATAGAAAAACTTCACTGGTGATTGTGCAAACACAAGCTTTTTTTTTTTCCATTTCACAGTCCTTTAGTATTTGCAGTTGTCTATCTTTATATAGCTTTATGCAAAAGGAAATTGCAAGAATTGGAAACCAAGTTCTTGAATAAACTTTATACATTTTGAACAATCTGCTTCTGCTTTTGTATTCAAATGAAACACAGCTTAAATGAATGTTTTCATTTTTAAAACAAAATTGTTTATACAAGACTAAGAATCTGAAATGTACTTTATTTAAAAATATGAACACAATTCTTGGTCCCAGCTAAAAATGTACTTAGCAGAATTTAGAAAATGCTTTACAATTAGGTTTCATTGGACATCTAGAATTCATTTGTCTTAATCAGTAGTGGGTGAAAGTAAACAAAGAAATTACTGCAGTGCTACTGAATTAATCGTCCAGAAAACAAACCAAAGAAAAAATAAACAGTTTTGATCAAAATTCATTGACAAAATCCTTCACGTGTCAAAAAAAAAATGTGTGTCTTCTTCAAATGAAAGCATTTAATTTGGCTGCCAGGTTTAGTTATTTTTGAACTATCAGTTCTTCCTTTGTTCCCCAGGACCAATCCAGCCTTTCTCAAAGGGTTTAGATCCAGCAACAGAAAATCTCAAAGGTGGTACTACATTCCTCTACTTTAATTGGAGCAATTACAATAGATTTAATTATAGCCTTTTTTAAAGCAACCCAAGTATACCAGTTCCAAGTGAATGCAGTCCTTGTAGTAAATTTTAAACCCTATTTCACAAATCATTACAGTAACTTTACTGATAATGATTTGAGTACAAATATTGGAAAACTGCATTTTTTACACAATAAACCATTTATTCTTCTGGTAGTCAGCTACACAAAAATCTATGTCCTTAACAAAAAACAACAACAAAAACAAAACAGAACAAAACCACTAACAAACAAAAGATATTTTTTCTTGTCACTAATTGTTGAGGCAAGTGTCCTGTGCTTTTTAGAATAGCTGTGTAACACTTCAGTGTTTGAGAGGAAAGCTTTTAAAGCACAAGATAGTAACAAGACTATCAAGGCGTATTCCAACTGCAGTTCCTTAGATTTAAGCTGCTCTGTGTATAGTTGAATCAGCTTCCTAGACCACTGACTTTTTATTAAACTACTCAACTGTAATTTTGGGAGACAAGAACTGAAGCTGCTTTTCCTAGATAAACTGGTGGTACCTGTGGAAGGCAAGAGATAGACCTGAATGAAAAGATATTTTCTCCAGTGAGAAGTCATTTAATGTGCAGAATTACTTGCTAAATGTATTTTTGTGGAACCTACATGCTAACATTTACTTCTACAGATCCTTAGTACAGAATCATCACATCCTAACTGTTCTTAGCCTCCATACCTGTCTTAGACACATTGTCAAGTCTCCCAGCTGAGCCAAAAGGAAGAATCAATTAAGCATTTTATTTATTTATTTTTAATCAGGAATTAAATGGCACTTACAAAATCATGTTCTGTCCGAACATGGTTTCCTGGTCTCACAAAGTCTCTTTATTTATGTTAGCTGTTACAGTGAGTTAAGCAAATAAGAAACTAAGAGACTTCCAACTGAGACACCTCTCCTGCCTGTCCCTCTGCAGTCATCTGTAAATTTTATTGTTAGTTTCAATTCAGGAATAACAGAATTAATTCATTCATTTTCTGTGCCATTCCAGTTTTCTTTCTCAACTTGGCTCAGGCTTTAAAATTGTTTCAGACCATTAGCTTCTTAAGAACTGGGACTATTTTCTTTCTCAGTGTCAGTGCTCAGCAGAATATACAAACTAAACAAAACTAAAGTTAGAATAGTTTAGTGATTCTGCACAGCCATTTTAACAGTTCATAATAATAATACTGGTAAGGCAACATAAGTTGCTTATAAAACACAGTTATACACTTAGAAGATTTTCTTCCTCAAGAGCTCACATTAAAACAGGAAAGTGTTCATGGTGCTCCTGTCACACTTTTGCATGCTTCCATGAGACCTTATGTTTTAGCTTCATTTAAAATGAGAAGCATGAAAACTGTTTCCGTTTCAAGTATTTTGTATAGCCTGAAGACTATTCATCTGACTTAATGCACAAAGCAAGAACCACAAAGGAATCTATTTTAAAAATATAGGAAATTAACTAAACTGATTTATTTCATGGCAGACCAGGTTTTGTGTTTTACTTACATGCTATTTATTGCAAAAAAAACCCAGCAAAATGTACAATTTGTTTGAGAAAACTGCAAACATATGTCATTGCAAACAAAAAAAAAGGCAAGTTAACTTTTCAATAGTATTTTAATATTTGTACAATTATTTAGAATTAATCAAAAAAAGATTGTGTATTTACCTATATAAAAGCTTCAAATAATAGGTAAAGTTAGCTTACATTATAAAACCAAAACACATCGGGCTGAAATATTTGTTTGCATTTTTCTTTATTAAATTTATGGCACTTAATTTAATAGCAAAAATAATAATAATAGGTCTCCACAATCAGAAGCAGTATCATTTTCCATTGTCACATTTCTTCGAGATCAAGGCCTTTATAATTTACTCAAAACTGAGGCAGACCTCATTGTGATTTTTTGTTTTTGTATTACAACACTATCACAGCTATATCAGCTGTATTAGCAAGCTCGCTGTTGTTTATTTTCCTTTGTATTCTGTAAGTTAAATTGCAGTTTCACTGTGCTGTCAAGTAGACAGTGTAACAGCATGCCACTGGAAAATGTTTGAATTTATGTTTAATGTGGCTGATCCAGCAAAAAAAAATCCTTTCATTTAACATTATCCTTCCATTTTTTATTTTTAAAAATTTTTTTACAAAAAGCTAATGTTGAACATACATGTTGAGCATGACATTACCAACAGTATTACAAACTATAAAAGAAAAAGTGTGAACTAATAATCAGATTTCTCAAGGGCTGTAGTGAATAAC